GAGGCCAATGCTCTTAGGTTGGAGGCCATCGCTCTGAGGTTGGAGGCTATCCCTACGAGGTGGGAGGCCATCGCGCCATCGCTCTTAGGTTGGAGGCTATCCCTAAGAGGTTTCAATCGGACCTCCCAAACTGGGTCTCCCTGCCACTGGGGTCCTCGCACCAGCATTCGCCCGTGGAGCCCCAGCACCTCAGTGCGGGGCGGCGCCGCAATACAATGGCGCTGGGTCTTTTCGGGTCACAAAGAGGAATGGACCAGCCCCCAACTCAATTCTTGTTTAATTCTTGTTTCTACTAGCTTCTTGTTACTAGTAGCAAGGCACTTGTTACTAGTAGCGATGCACTTGTTTCTACTAGCTTCTTGTTGGTCTTTTCATCGTGGTTTTTGCTTCAAAATCTTCGAATTTGGCCTTTCAGGAACACCCACTTTTGTGGTCTTTCGTTGCTGAGGACGATGACTGTCTCGGTGCAAAGCCACCAAGGGAAAGGCAATCAGGCTGAAAGCTGCCCACCAAAGCTGCTAGTTTGGCCTAAAGAAGCAGGTGGCATGGCCGACTTTCTAGCACGATTTTCTCGCTCAATTGGTCCAGGATGTTTTCATTTGTACAAAGATCTTGACACCTTGAGGCGCTCCAAATGGCAAGCAGTGCTATTGCCGGCAGCCTATCCAGGTAAAGCTTCCAGTCAAGACTTGACATAAACGTGTCTTCCGTATTTCTTGCCTCCCCACACTCACATGTCAAAGGCCTTCAACCGCTGTATCACCATGCAATCTTCTTCCCTGGACAGCTACTTGTGTCAAACGGTGAATGCGGCAATGTGCATGACGGTCATGAAGGCTCAGAATTCCCTCGGGGTCCATTCCGGACTCGGTCAACGTTTTGAAACTAACTCATGGAACATTGCAAAGGCATCTTCTATGGCGACCAGGTTTCACCTAGTGTTTGTACCAGGCTTGACCTAGGTTGCACATGGAGTTCCCTTTGGAAACATCACATGGAATCTGCACCATCTGAATCAGGATAGTTCTCGTACTCCTTGCCAGGCGGCGGACACCTCACAAGCGAAGATCGACAACAAAGGAAAATCAAATATCAAAAACGATAGAATACAACATTAATGAATGAAGGCCATTGCTATTAGGTTGGAGGCCATCGGTCTTAGGTTGGAGCCCATCGCTAGTAGGGTGGAGGCCATCAGTCTTGGGTTGGAGAGGCCATTGCTCTGAGGTTATCGCTCCCAGTTGGAGGCCATCACTCCTAGGTTGGAGGCCATTACTATTAGGGTGGAGGCCGTCGCTATTAGGCAATTAGGTTGACGGCCATTGCTATTGAGTTGGAGGCCATCGCTCTTAGGTTGAAGGCCGATGCTATTGGGTTTGAGGCCATCGCTCTTAGGTTGGATGCCATCGCTCTTAGGCTGGAGGCCATTACTCTTAGGTTGGAGGCCATCACTCTTAGGTTTGAGGCCATCGCTCTTAGGTTGGAGGCCATCGCTCTTAGGTTGGAGGCCATCGCTCTTAGGTTGGAGGCCATTGCTCTGAGGTTGAAGCATCGCTCTTAGTTGGAGGCCATCTTAGGTTGGACGCCATCACTCTGAGGTTTGAAGCCATTACTATCGCCATTAGGCTATTAGGTTGAAGGCCATTGCAGCGCTCTTAGGTTGGAGGCCATCGCTCTTAGGTTGGAGGCTATCCCTACAAGGTGGGAGGCCATCGCTCTTAGGTTGGAGGCCATCGCTCTTAGGATAGAGGCCATCGCTCTTAGGTTGGAGGCTATCCCTACGAGGTGGGAGGCCATCGCTCTCAGGTTGGAGGCCGATGCTCTTAGGTTGGAGGCTATCCCTACGAGGTGGGAGGCCATCGCTCT